TGTGTGTGTGTGTGTGTGTATATATGTGTGTGTATATATATATGTGTGTGTGTGTGTGTATATATATAGATAGATAGATATAGGTGACCCTAGAAGCTACCAGAAAACACTGAGTAGGGCAGGGGTATTTGGTGCTCCATTTGGGATCCTGGCTGATGAGGTAACTGGATTAGGAATGACAAAATAATTGGCTTTATAGTGTATGAACCAGAAACAAACATCCTAATTTTACCCTGTGCTGAGCTAGCATGCCCTAGGCTCTGCCTGAATAATAGTTGTGTGACCGTACGGAAGTCACTTAACTGCTTAGGTGTACAGTTGGGATTCAAGGTATCTTTGAGCGCCTCCAATTTCTAAAATACTTGTTCCATTTTTGAGGCTGCTATGTAGAAATGAAAATAGCAGGGACTATCTTTGTGCTCCAGTCACGTTGACCAAACTCCCTTAACATTGGTGTCATCTACAAAATGTGAATCATACTACTTTATACCGTCTTATATTTCAAGGTTGTAGGCAAGAATTGTTGTAAAAATGAGAAAATTGACATAAAGATACTTTTATTCAATAAAAATAATGTATTATATAGAAAATAACTCTCATTTTCTATTCTCTGGTCAGAATTTTATCCCTCAAATCTTTCTGTGAGTAGAGAGAACTGCTGTACATTCACAATAAAAATTTACCCATTAAGATCTATACCATATATTATTTATATTTATAGCTATAATTTCTAATCAGGACTTGGTATATGGTACATATGTCTTTATGACGTGTTTATATTTAATCATTTTTTTTTTTAGGTTTGCAATATTTTTCCTTTTATCATCGATTACTTCCCAGGGACTCACAACAAATTCCTTAAAAATGGTGCTTTTACAAAAAGTTATATTTTGGAGAAAGTAAAAGAACACCAAGAATCACTGGACATTAACAATCCTCGGGACTTTATTGATTGCTTCCTGATTAAAATGGAGCAGGTAAGATGTTTGCAACAGATCAGCATTTTGATTTCTTTTCCATTTCGTGCTTCATTAAATCCTTCTCTAATTATTAGGAATGTTTAAATGGTCAGACCCATAATGCTTGATTAGCATTTTAAGAATATATAGTATTTATGTGTCTGCAGTAAACATCATGGAAAACATAAGATTATCAAATGGCTAGAATACATTGACATTCTTCTTCAAATAAAAATAATCTACCAGAGGAGAATAGAATGGACACTGCAGCCAAAGGGAAGCAATTACAAATGAGGTAGCAAATATAAAATATTACCATAAATTGAATATGGGCATTATCATTACACATAATGTATGTGAGAATGGAAAAGAATGGCTTAACCAAGGTGGACTTCCTGAATGTCCCATAGAGTGAAATATACCTTAAATTATTCACAGTAAGGAACAGGGGAGAGGTTTCAGATGGGTTGAGTAGTTTGTGGAGAGGTATATGGTAAGAAAGAGTAGGTGGATGGAACAGAGAAACCCGAATTTGGTGCAACCTAAAGTGAATTTGCACCAATAAGGAGTTGGAGGTTGGTGTCTCTGAGGTAACCTGTAAACATGAATCCTGTTGTCACTGCACTGTTTATTGAATAAACTCTTTTTGTTCCTACTGAATTGTCTTGGCAATCTTACCAAACACCAATTGATTATAAAGGGGAAGGTTTGTTTGTGGGCTCCCAATTCTTCCCAATTGATCTATTTCTGTCCTTATGCCAGTAGTACATCATTTTGAAATCTTAATTACTATAGCTGAACTACTATACTGAATTACTATAGATAAATTACTATAGCTACATCTTAAATGCAATAGCTTGATACCATAGTATCATCAAGTTTTAAAATCAAGAAATGAGAGTCCTCAAAGTTTGTTCTTTTATTTTTTTAATTTTATTTGTATTTTTACTTTTCTTTTGAGATGGAGTCTTGCTCTATTGCCAGCCTGGAGTGCAGTGGCATAATCCTGGCTCACTGCAACTTCTGACTCCCAGGTTCAAGTGCTTCTCCTGCCTCAGCCTCCCGAGTAGCTGGGACTACAGGTGCACACCACCATGCCCAGCTAATATTTGTATTTTTAGTAGAAACAGGATTTCACCACGTTGGCCAGGATGGTCTCGATCTCTTGACCTTGTGATTGACCTGCCTCTGCTTCCCAAAGTGCTGGGATTACAGGCATGTGCCACCACACCCGGCCAAGTTTGTTCTTTTGAAGACTATTTGGTTTATTTTGGGTTCGTTGAGTCTCCACATGAATTTTAAGATAAGCTTGTTCATTTCCCTAAAGAATTCAGTTGGGATTTTGACAAGAATTGCATTAAATCTGTAGATTGATTCAATGAATTTAAAGATTGAGTGGAATTCACAATCCATATATTATTCAATTTAAAGTGTATACTTTATTGGTATTTAATGTAATCACGATGTTGTGCAATTAACAGCTCTCTTTACTTTCAAAACTTATCACTCTGTAAAAATATACCATAGTCATTAAATGATCACATCTCATTCCCACCTCATCATGTAGTAAGTAGTAATCTGCTTTCTGTCTCTATGGATTTCCCTATTGCTAGCATATGTGACCTTTGTTTCTGACTTCTTTCACTTACCATAATGACATGGAGGCTCCAAAAAGTTGTAGCATGTGTCAGTATTTTTGTTTTTTTGTGGCCAAATAATATTCCATTATACATGTACACATAACAACAATTTGTTTATTATTCATCTGTTGGTGTATATTTGTGTTATTTTCATCTTATGACTTTTATAAATAATGGTGCTATGTATATTTGTTATAAGTTTCTTCATGGACATCCTTTCATTTTCCTTGGGTATAGTCCTAGGAGTGTTAATTCTGGGTCATATGGTAATTTTATGTCTAATTTTTTGAGAAGCAATTAACATTTCTAAACTGAATGCACCATTTTACAATCCCACTGGCAATATTTGAGGGTTCCTATTTTTCCATCTGTTAATATTTTTTAATTTTACAATATTTTGTGTCAGTGCAAAGTGGAATTTCATTGTGATTTTGACTTATATATACTTAATGACCAATGAAAATGAACATCTTTTCATATATTTTTTCCTATTTTCATATGTCCTTTATAGAAATGTTATTCAAATCCTTTGTGCATTCTTTAATTGAGTTGCTTATCATTTTATTGTTGAACTGTAAGAATTATTTGTGCATTCTGAACATTAAATCCCTATGTATGTATGATAAGAAAAATAGTTTCTTCCATTCTGTAGGTTGTGATTTCACATTCTTAATTATGTTCTTTGATGTACAAACATTTTATTTTTATTATTTTATTTAGTTTGTTTCCTTTTTTCTCTATTTTTTGATTTGATGTACAAAAACATTTTACTTTTCTAAAGTCCAGTTTATCTATTTAATCTTTTGTTGCTTTAGTGTCAAATCTATGAATTCATTGCCAAATCTGAAGGCATTAATATTTACCCCTATATTTTATTCTAAGAATTTTATAGTTTTAACTCATATTTGAGTTTTTCATCCACTTTCAGTTATATTTTGCATATGGAATGAGGTAGGAGTCTAACTTCATTCTTTTGCATTTGGTTATCAAATTGTTGCAGCACTGTTTGTTGAAGAAACTCTCCCTTTAGATTGAATGGTCTTGGGATGCTTGTTGAAAATGAACTGGCTATTGATGTTTACAGTTATGTTTGGGATTTAAATTTTATTCCATTGTTCTTTTCTTTCCTTATGCCAGTACCACACTGTTTTCATTTTTACATTTATGTTTGGGATTTTACCTTTTAGATGTTTACATTTATTTTGGGATTTAAATTTTATGCCATTAATGTTGTCTTTCCTTACGCCAGTACCACACTGCTTTCACTAATATAGCTTTGTTTCGAAGTTTTCAAGTTGGAAATTGATTCCACTCCCTGTTAGTTGCATATAAATTCTGGATTGGTTTTCCCATTTCTGCAAAACAGGCCATTAGAATTTTAATAGTGATTACACTGAATCTTTACATTACTTTGGGGAGCATTGCCATCTTAACAATCTTACGTCTTTCAACCCTAGAGTGTGAGTTTTTTTATTATTTAGATATTTTTATATTGTTTTAGGCAATGTTTGATTATTTTCAGTGTGAGAATCTTTCACCTCCTTGTTTATAGATTTTTAGAGCTTTCATTCCTTTGCATGCTATTGCAAATGTAATTATTTCCTTGATTTCATTTTCAGATTGTTCATTGCTGGGGCACAGCTGAGTTTTGCATTGATCTTATACTCTGAGATTTTGCCTAAAACATTTATGATATGGTTTGTCTGTGTCCTCACCCAAATCTCATCTTGAATTATAGTTCCCATATTCCCCGCATGTGGTGGGAGGGACCTGGAAGGAGGTAACTGAATCACGGGAGCAGTTTCTCCCATGATATTTCCATGATAGTGAGTAAGTTCTCTTGAGATCTCATGGTGTTATAAGGGGTTTCCCCCTTTTGCTCAGCTCTCATTCTTCTCCTTCCTGCTGCCTTGGGAAGGAGAACATAAACATATTCTCTTGCTTTCCCTTCCACCATGACTGTAAGTTTCCTGAGGCATCCCTAGCCAATTAAACCTCTTTTCTTTATAAATTTTTTTTTCTTTATAAACAAGTCTCAGATATGTTTTTATTAGCAGCATGAGAATGGACTAATACAACTTATTAGCTCTAGTTTTTTTGTGTGGATTGTATGGACTTATCTTTATATAGAATCCTGTTATCTTTAAATAGAAATAGTTTTACATCTTCCTTTGTTATCTAAATGCCTTTTATATCTTTTGCTTGCCTAATTGTTCTGGTTTGGACTTTAAGTACTACGCTGAATAGTAGTGGTGAAAGTGTATACATTTTTTTTTCCTCTCTGATTTTAGGGCATAAGCTTTTAGACTTTCACAATTTAGTATGAAGTACCTTTGGAGTTTTTATAAATATATTTTATTATGATAATGAATTTTCCTTGTGTTCATAGTTTTTGGGTGATTTTATCCTGAAGAGTGTTGAATTTTGTCCTATGCTTTTTCTGCTTCTCTTGAGATAATCATATTATTGTTTTTTTCCTTTCATGCTAATAATGTGATGTATTAAAGTGATGATTTTCTTGTTGAACCACTCTTGCATTTCTGGTATAGATTCTACTTTATCATGATGTATAAGCCTTAAACATTTTTAAAAAGTGTGTCAAAATATGCATAACATACAGGTTGCTATATCAGACATTTTAAATGTATAATTTAGGGACATTAAGTACATTCACATTGTTTTACAACCATCACCTCTATTTCCAGAATTACTTCATCTTGCAAAATAGAAACTCTATACCCAATGTACAATTTCTCCCTCCTCCCAGCCCCTAGCAACCATTCTAACAAACTAAAACATCCTGTTTTCTGTGTCTATGAATTTAACTGTTTTAGGTACTTCATAAAAATCAAATCATACGGTATTTGTCTTTTGTGACTGGACTTTTTCACATAGCATGATAACTGCATAGTTCATTCATGCTACCACTCTACCATAAAAAGAATAAAATAATGTCTTTTGTGGCAACTAGGATGGAATTGGAGGCTGTTATACCAAGTGAAGTAACTCAAGAATGAAAAATCAAATACTGCATGTTCTCACTTATAATATGTCTTATTTTTTCATTCACTCTTAAGTTAATGGGCACTTAAATTTACTCCATATCTTTGCAATTGTAAATTGTGTTGCAATAAACAGGCATGTGCAGGTGTCTTTTTGATATAATGACTTCTTTTCCTTTGGGTAGATAACCAAGAGTGGGGTTCCTGGATTGAATAATAGATCTACTTTTGGTTGTCTGAGAAATTTCTATACTGTTTTCCATAGAGGTTATACTAATTTACATTCCCACCAGCAGTGTATAAGTGTTCCTTTTCTCTGTACCTACACCAACTTCTATTGTTTTTTTGACTTTTTAATAATGGTCATTCTGACTAG